AATTTTTGCAACTTAGGTTACTTTTCAAAAGTGTCAAATTCTAATGATGCAGGGACCTTCCTATGGGAACACGCGGCAACTGATCAGTCCTCCGAGAAGACACGCATTTTACAGACACGAAACCTGAAGCCCAGAGGAGCCAAGAACACTGGCCACAGTTCCACAGCAGCTCAGGCCTGCGGCTGCATTTCCTCAACGCTGAGATGCAAGTTTCCTGCAATCCAGTGTGCAATGAATGCCATGTGGCTTTTATCCCTCAAAGCGCTGTTAGGGAATCAATGACGCATCTCGCCCTCAATAGTATGGGCAAGTGGCGGGAACACAGCTGCATCATAAATGGTGGCTACTCCCGTGGGCCAGGTGTTCACCTCGCAGAGGTGTCTGCTCTGTGCCAGGCACTCAGGGCTGGCCCCTCCCATCTCTTTCCCAATGCCAGATGCAGCCATACTGTGCCACCTCCCAGCCTGGGACCAGAGGCTCAGAGAAGATGACCAACCTTCTAAGGTCACAACTAGTATGTGGCACAGGTGGGACTGGAACTTAGCACGGTCTGACTCTGAGTCTGTGCCTTTCCTGATGTATCTCACTTTGGAGCCCTTTGAGCAGCTGGGGGTGTTTGGGTCCAACCAGTTTGAGGCCTCCAATGAGCCAGCAACTGAAGCAGCCTGCTGGGTGTGGGGAGGGAAGTTGTTGGGAAAACACAGTTATCAGGCCCAAATTGTGTTGCGCTCCCCCAAGGTGGAAGAGGCTGCTGGAAGCATAATCCCATTTTGTGGAGGTTTTGGGGCTGGGCGTGAGCTGCTCCTCTGCCTAGCCCCATCGAGAACCCCTCCTGGCTTGCCCTGACTGTCCTGGGCCCTTGGCGATGGCCCCGACCCCCACCTGTGCCCTGGCAGCTGGGTGCTGTGGGGCAGGCAGGGGGTCTGGACGCAGATGGGGGAGAACAGAGTCCTCATTCATGAGCATGTTTATGAAGAAGGAAAAAATGTGTGCCAACTGCGTTATGAAACTCAGACCTTTAGTGCTTAATGAGAAATAGGAGTCAGGCCCAAAACAGCAGAAGGCCCAGTGGTTCATGGTGTTTGTAAAAACCAGCTGGAACTGGGGAGCTGGAGTGGACAGCAGGGCCAGTCTCTGGCCTGGAGGCTTCTATCTCCATCAGAGCAAGGAGACCCCTCCAAAAATCTGGGGAGATGCCCTAACCTGGCTGCCGCTGTGAGAGCTGGCACCTTTGTCTTGAAGACACTCAGGTCTGTGGTGTGTTCTTGGAGACACTCTCTTAGTGGGATCTGGAATTCCACTTGGCTGGGGGTGGAGGTCACTGAATGCAGTTATGCCCTCACCTGACCTCTGCTGCTGGGACCACGAGGCGGGGCTGGTCCTGAACCCCTGGGCACACCCCACCCTTTCCTCTCCGGTGCCAAAGTCAGGGCAGAGGAGGCTATGTGGGGACGCTGCCTCCACAATCTCCTTCAAACCAGCAAATGCCATCTTATGACTGTGTGTGCCCATGTGTTCACCTTCGCAGACACCATAGGCCTTGCTAGTAGAGCACAGGGGGCACCCCAAGGTGCTTCCCAGCCATTTCTCCAGCTCACCAGGCCCTCAGAAGCTGCCCTCTGTCCCTCCAAACCCTGAGCAGACTCCAGGAGCAACACACACACGACAGAATGAACAAACGCTGCCCAGCCGCGTGATGACACAGGGCCTCAGGGAAGCCCCGCCCACCCACACAGACAACACCCCAGGCACCGGGCTGCCAAGCGGTCTCCCTGCAGGCTGAGGGCCCCGGCAGCCCTGGTTCTAGACAGGCATCATGCACTGGATAAATGTGACAACACAGCTGGACCCCCAACCCCTCCGAAAAGTCCAGCAACCACAAGCAGCTGCATCTGAAGACGCCCATCTCTGGATTCCAAGCTCCTGAGAGTGGCGCAGAGCCTGTTTCGAAGGAAGGAGTTTGTGGAGCGAGCAAGCGGGAGGTGTCTGCCAAGTGTCTGCAGACCTGAGCTTGTCTGTGGAACCACATGGCTCTGTGGGGGGCAGAAGGGAACAGTCAATGAGGTCCCTCAAACTGGGGCTCCTGGAACCAGGTGCTCACGGGTTTGAGATGTGTCAGGTGGAACGTGTGGATGACAAGGCTGGAGAGACCCTTAGGGGTCACGGATTAAGAACTGTACTCCCCTCTACCTTAGTCACACAACTGAGGTTCAGGGAGCGGGAGGGACAGGCACAGAAGGAGCCAGCTCAGAAGCCACACCACTCAGGGCAGCCCCGGGTCCACGGGTCTCCTACACCCACACACAGGCACACGCAACACCAATGCGCGCACACAGACACCCAGGCACACGGCACAAATACGCAGAGCCACATACCCAAGACAGACTCACGCACTCCTGCCCATGACCCCTCACTCACTCAGACACACACATATGCACAGATGCTCACACCCCAAAGACACACGGCATACACGGCTCACACAATACAAACACACATGGGCTCATGCACATACCTGCAAACATATACACAGAAACACACATGCTCTCCAACCCTAGAGCACAAATGGTTATACCCACATGCATGCAGCCACAGCCACTCGTGCACAAAACTAGCACAAGTGAGTAGACATACCCACTCTTGTGCATTTCACACACACACACACACACACACACCCCCCTACAGAGAAATCCACATGCATGCCCACACCCATCTCCTATAAAGCTGCCAAGCGGTCTCCCTGCAGGCTGAGGGCCCCGGCAGCCCTGGTTCTAGACAGGCATCATGCACTGGATAAATGTGACAACACAGCTGGACCCCCAACCCCTCCGAAAAGTCCAGCAACCACAAGCAGCTGCATCTGAAGACGCCCATCTCTGGATTCCAAGCTCCTGAGAGTGGCGCAGAGCCTGTTTCGAAGGAAGGAGTTTGTGGAGCGAGCAAGCGGGAGGTGTCTGCCAAGTGTCTGCAGACCTGAGCTTGTCTGTGGAACCACATGGCTCTGTGGGGGGCAGAAGGGAACAGTCAATGAGGTCCCTCAAACTGGGGCTCCTGGAACCAGGTGCTCACGGGTTTGAGATGTGTCAGGTGGAACGTGTGGATGACAAGGCTGGAGAGACCCTTAGGGGTCACGGATTAAGAACTGTACTCCCCTCTACCTTAGTCACACAACTGAGGTTCAGGGAGCGGGAGGGACAGGCACAGAAGGAGCCAGCTCAGAAGCCACACCACTCAGGGCAGCCCCGGGTCCACGGGTCTCCTACACCCACACACAGGCACACGCAACACCAATGCGCGCACACAGACACCCAGGCACACGGCACAAATACGCAGAGCCACATACCCAAGACAGACTCACGCACTCCTGCCCATGACCCCTCACTCACTCAGACACACACATATGCACAGATGCTCACACCCCAAAGACACACGGCATGGATCTGGAATTCCACTTGGCTGGGGGTGGAGGTCACTGAATGCAGTTATGCCCTCACCTGACCTCTGCTGCTGGGACCACGAGGCGGGGCTGGT